ATCTTCAGAGAAAGCAGCTAGTCACTTGCAGAATATATAAGCAAAATACGAGGTCATCTCCACAACCTTCTCAGCTTGACATCTCTTACACTGATACATTCGTTGCCCCGGCTGCGTCTGACTATTCTATTCGTGTACAACACACACTAGAGAGACAGAACGCGGCCTTGACTGAAACTAGTGCTAAGGCTGAAGTATTTCGACTTGATGTAATATACTCCGAAGTAGCGCTCGCTATTACCATACCAACATTGGCAGCTGGCCATCGATCAATATATTCACAATCAAGTCCGTAGTTTGTAACACTGGATCCGGTCGCATCTTTCTCCAAATCCACAAATCAAAAGTAATCTGTTAATCGAACTCTCACGATTCTTCAACAGTTTGGCTTGTGACGAATTTCTGGCCAGAGGTGCTTTGGCGAGACCGCTAGCCTTACTGATCTTCTTACATATGCGGCACGGCGTTTCATTGCAGTTGGACAAAAACCTATTTACCACAGTATGTCTTCTAAAGTTTTCATTATTGAAGTGTACATTTCATAGATTTCAACAGACTTGCTTTTTTACAATCTTTTTACAACTTCTGCAACTTCGTCTATTGAAAGACTAATATTCGTTTTCTGTTAGTCTTCAGGCGAGTCGTCGTACACTTGCTCTGACTTAAGAAGTATCTCAAAATATTCTTGCCGTCACAGGTACATCCTCATTGTTGGTGGGGAGGCGACCGGACTTATCCTTATGCCGTGAGAGGCGAATGGATAGGTTTTGCGGGAGATTCTGCCACAGTGTTGAGCCCTCCTTTTTTATCCCAGCTTTAACCGAAAAGAAATATAACGTTAAATTTTTTATTGTTATTTTATTGTCAGTGCTGACTTGAAAGTCCTGTTTTTCAGAGGTTCGATTTTACTGTTGAATTGTTGTTCGTATTTCAGCGATCAAGTTGCTTAGGCAGAAGTCGTTAGATGATGACGTCGTTGTACTTCTTCCACCGGCAGAGATGTCGAACGCGTTCGGTGGCAAAACTACCTGTACGGAAGAACGTTATAATGTACTTAGCATGGTGGCAGAAAGCGATGGTACCACCCTTGAGTCGGCGATAGCAAACGACGACGCAACTCCTATCTTAAAGGTGAAGCAGATGGAAGAACGTCTGGTGCCTGGGGTGATCCCGATGAAGAATATTGTTTCCAAGGTGACCAAACCCGTCGAAGCTAAGACGAAAGTGATCCCGAGAACTCAGAAGAAACCTGTTGACCTCAAATCTACTGGTATCCTTGAGGACAAGAAAAAGTAGGTCGCATTTTTGGTGTTTTATGATATTCATTGCCATTTCGAGTGGCGCGTTAGTCATGTTCGTTTTATTGCTTATAGTTGATCAGTTCCTGTATAGTTTTCTGCGGTCTTAGACCATACGTAATTTGTGACGTACTTTGTAATTTGCCACAACGAGGTGCTATATTAATAATGGCACATATGTAATGGAGAAATTTTAAAAGTTTTACTTCTTGAATATAATGTAGATGGCAGCAAATCGGCTCTCCTCTCTTGAGGCTCCATCCTCCCGTTAGTGCTTTGAACAGTTGTCTGCATTGAGGATGAGACGCATCGCTACCTGAATGTTCGTAAAACTTTGTTCTGTGCAACCAATTCCGAATATGTGACCAAATTCACGACGAAAACCCCTTCAACCACGGACGGGCGGTTTGAAACATGTTTTTCGAACTCTACAGCCTATCTGCGTTCGCCATCGGTGCGTTTTTCACTTAGAGGTCTAAGAGATCTCATTCAAACTCCGGAGGTGCCGGGATCAATTTCACTCCTGGGCAATCTTTGTCTTATTCGCGAATTTTCTTGGACAGCGAATTTACCACACATGGAGGGATGGTTGCGCAGTCGGTTGAGCGTCGAACTCAGGCCCGATAACCCGAGTTCAAGTCGCGGTGGAAGTCACTGGCTCCTCTTTTTTCTTAGGTTG